CAAAATAAAACACATGCAAGAAACATCACTCACAAGTAGCCCTAGGTCTGAGAAAGGTCTTACATAAACCTGTCAAGATGGGAAATACTGGGGCAGCTCACAGGCTTCCAGTGCTGTCCTTAAGTGCTCTGGCTGGGGCTGTACAGCACAGTTGTTGCTTTATCCAGTGCTTACTTCTACTTTGCCAGCTGAGAAATTGTTGGGCCAAAGTATTTTTAAACTATACTTAAGTCCTCTAATTCCTCGGGGAAAAAAAAAAGAAAAGAAAAAAAAAAAGAGGATTAGGAGTATTGTGATAATCTATTGACAAAATACATCCTGTGGCCCAGTCTGCACAGGATGCAGTATAAACTGCATTAAGTGAGTGGCTTAAAATTGCAACGGCAGCAGGTACTTATTAAAAATATGTATCATATGCTCTGTGGAACACTAATATGAATATTACACAAAAATCAATAAAACTACCTTATGTTTTACAGCCAGCTGTGAGGCTTCAGAGCCTTTTTAGGTGATGGTTATAGGCAGTTTTACCATGGAGTACCGCCTGCTAGTAGTATGGATAGGTGAACAAGAGGAGGAAAAACATGTCATTTGGGTACCCTAGGTAATCTGAAGCTCTTACTCAAAGTTTCTAGATTTATCGGAGTAATTTTTAACGTTCTTAGCTCATAATACATTCATTTAGAAATTAAATCTAAAATTCACAAGATATCAGTTCTATTTTATTAGAAAAGTTAAAAAAGAAAAATAATAAAGAAAACTAGGAAAGGAAAAGAAACTAAACTAACACGCCTACAGTAACATTCACAAATAATTGCATCACTTTCTGAGCCACAGTCTCAATTTTCCACAGAGGTTAGCAATGTCACTATACACTATAAATTTCAATATACTATAAATATATTTCACCTCAGGCAAAACTCGGGGGCTTTACAGAACTGAAATGAATGTGTCTCGTCTTCTGTGGATAATATGTATGACCTGGTAATAAAAGTACCAAACACTTTGATGCTACAGGAAGCTTCTGCTCTTACCATCATTGCGTTGTGGATTGCTTTACACTAATCATTGGCTTGTGTATAAGAAATATACAAGGGCAATGCTAAATATAAAGCATAGAAGAACATAAACGGCACACGCAGATGCATACATATAACCTATTTCAAGCAGAACTTATAAACTGGGCTATGAAGAAGAGAATCATCAGCAGCAAAACTACAAGGTTTCCTGCACATGAGCGTGCCCGGGAGGGAGGCAGCGAGGGCAGCACCTCTGCGCTGGGCTGGGCGCTCTCGGGGCCGCTGCTGCTGCGGCCTCGGGCAGCCCCATCCGCTGCGCCGCGACCGGCAGAGCTCAGGGCAGCTCTGTGCAGCTCTGCACTAAATGATTAACAGCTACCCCGTAACTACCTGCCTGCATAATGCGAAGCAAACCTAGCCAACCTGTCCTGTTTCCTACAGAAGTGTCATTTCAGCTGTATATTCTCTATAGCAGTCAGCACTGCAGTAGTTCTTCCTGCAGAGGAAGTACACAGGTCAGATTATGCTTCTGAGAGCGGGAGGTGGGATGAAGGAGCAAAAAGTAGATTAAAATATCCAGTCATACTAACTAAATTTTAAGGAGGCCCAAATACCTTTATCAGTGCTGCAAAATACTGCCCAGAAAAGAGAACCTCTTCCCCCTATGTCTTCTGAGAGCACCAGCAAATGACTCAAAACCAGATGACATAAACATTTCCTCACTTTCCTGGTGATAGGAAGTTGATACAGAGACAGAAGTAACCAATTCACAGCAGAGCTTTGAGCATTAGGTAACAGACATCTCTTATGCTTAACACTGCACACACAGCGGCTTTCCTTCTCCCTCAACTCCTTTAGCAGAGTACTGACCATCCCTAACACTTGCCTGGGAGCATCTGGAATAGGGATGTGTTAGGTGGGAAGGTATGACGTGCTGAGCATCACACCTCTGCTGCCTGCAGGAGAGCTCCTCCACTGCCCAAAGAAGGAAATTTCCAGATTTCTTGCACTGTTTAAGTAGCGTAAGTGAGCAGCAATGAGGCTTGGAAAGTGAGCTGCAGAGTGCATTTTACAACCCCCAAGTAACACAAATTTTGTGCATGGAAGCAAGAAATTACCTGAGCTCTATTACCTAAAATAGTAAAACAGTAATCTAGACATTCACTTTTTATAGATTTTGGCATCTTTGCTAGCAACATAAGGATTATTTGTTTATTTTATATACAAAGGCAGGACTGAGGCAGAAGGAACAAAGTGCAATAAAAGGCGTTGGGAATATAAGATCTGAAACAGACACTTATTTAGAGCAATTCAAAGCTGTATGTAAGAAAAATAATTTAAAAAATCTATTACTGAGACAGATGCTCCTGGGACAGAAGAATAAAATAAGAAAACTCCAACATCTGGAAATTAAAAGTGGTAGCAAAAACTGAGGATTAAATTAAATACAGATAATAGGTCTAAAGTCCTAGAAGAACATATGTGAAATCACCAAACTCATCATGAATTAGCTGGAAAGGTGATTTTGGAGAAAATCACCCATTAAAACCTGGCTTCAGTTTGCTAATCTGGCTAAAGGAAGATATGTAAGAATCTAAAAATTGAATTTTCACGACCATTAGGTCAATAAATCCACCTACAACAAAACTATAAAGAAGCGCTGATACCCATATAGCATAAACAGAAGTTGCCACGTGTGCAAAATTGACATAATTAATCATTCTTATTTGAAAACCACTGAGACTGGAGTGACTGGGAGTACTGTGACAAACAGGCAGCTAAGAGGTAGAACATACTGCTCTACTGCTGCAAACAACACTTGGTTCTATTTCATATTTCTATACTGTCACCAAAACACCAGATTATCTATAATCATTTCAAGAGCTGTGAAGAGGTTGTTCCAGCAGACCACCTTTTTGATTCCAAGGACCATGGCAGCTCCTTTTGCTGGGCACCTCGCATAAGTCATAAAGTTAGCAAGTTTTCGAAGTTGGACATTGGCAAAAGCAATTTTCAATATGCTTTTAAGAAAAGTGACCAGTATTTCTTGTAGTTTGCTTTAAATTCTCAGTCATTTCCTCCTGTTAGTTTTAGTGTAGAAGATAACAAGGTAACCAGAAGAATAACATTTTCAGAACATAACCATAATAAACTAGCTGAACTAGCCAGACACCATATATACTTTTGTGTTATCCGTCCTCCACTCAAAACCCAGATACTATTAACGTATTTAATAATTTATTCTCCTTCATTTCTTGCTCTGTGTTGAGCTCTTAATACCTGCACGACGTTGCTGCCTGCAAAGCTGGCTCGTCTCCAAATCCGCCCTCGGGCCAAGGCCTCGTTTAGCAGGTGAGCCAGTTTCCGCTCCATCTCGGCCTGAAACACTTCCTCCTGAATCCGCTGCTCCACGACGCCCAAGAGAACTGCATCGCAGAGAAAGTAACCCAAGAACACAAATTAATTAGTAGGAGTCACCAGGGTCTTTTCTGCAACTTCAGGTATATGCTCTGAGTCACCCTGTGCTATCGCACGGACAATTCAAGGGCAGCAGCGGTCATATGGGAAAAGTGCCAAGGTTGGCCAGAGTTTACACGCTGGAACGCATAAGGCTTTGGTTGGGAAAAGATTAAAAGAAATGTATATATACAAAAAAAAAAGGAGGGCATTTCTGGAATATGATCCAATCTAGAAAGACCCAGAATGATGAAGAAACAAATAAAAACAAACAAACAAAGAAAAACAAAACAAAAAAGAATGTTTAATGAATTACTTATAAACAACCAAAAGAGAAAATTCAGGCTCAGTCACCGCTTGCGGCTACTTGCAGCCATAGTTTTATGTTCTGAAGTCAGAGAGGGGCAAGGCAAGTGCTCAGGCAAAAAATGGGAGGAAAGCAGCAGCACCACATGGAAAAACAATGGATCCATATAGTCTGGGTGAATCTTGCCTAGATAAGGCAAAGATTAAGAGTATGCCAACTGTGTCACAAAAAATATGGTTATTTGCCCTGCCACCTTCAGTCCCCACCCTAGGCACCAGTGCCTGGAGCAGCTAATGGTGATGCAATCCCTGAGGAACACCACAGAGGAAGCAGCAAAAAACTAACAGGCTTTTACTACAGGATGGTAGCCAGTAAAGTAAATGGGGAGTGAGTGGAGGGACAGTCATTCAAGCTATTTAATTAAACAACCCAAAAGGACAGTAAATCAACTTACCACTGACAGCAATAAAATAATTCAGCTTTTATTCCTTAAGAACTCCTCTATTTTTTAAAAACCTTTTCTGCATCTGTTATCAAGTTTGAAAGTGTGGCGCTTAGTAAATTGTTAACTAGATATGATTTTTATTATTGTGATTAAATAAAACGCTCATTTAAAACACATTTCAAATTAAAAAAAAAAATACTGGAAAAAAGGGAAACATTTCCATAATTTCACACTGAGATCAATAACCTCTCTACTACTTTCAATTATAGAACAAGTATCGCAGAACTAAATATCAAATAAATGGATCTAGGGCTATTATTCTTGCCTGCATATTGAATTTCATATACCAGGGAATTATGCTTAATAGCACAAACTGTATTCTGCAAATAAAGGGAGTATCTACAGAGAATACTGCACGTCCCACTGTTTCGTGACTTTCAACATACTTCAGAATATGCATTGACCTATACCTTAACAGTCTGATGTTAAAAACCTCATCTTAGGGTGCATTAACACTATTATTTGCCTGTCATGAGTCATGTCACCTGCCTAGAAACAGCTACCAAATAATGAAAAAAGGTTACTAATACACAGTGGTTTTGCTCTCAAAATACAATGTGCAGTTTTTAAGGACTGACAAAGCCCAAGTGTACTAGCTCTTCCCAGGCTGCCTGTAACAACTGGAGGTACTAAAGATTTGTTTGCTGCTAAGAAAAAGCAAGCTGCTGCAACTGATTTTTTTAAAAAATCATGGCCAGGAGGCTTAGAAAATACAAAAGGGCACGACTTCTGAGCTGGAAGAACTTTTTTTTAAATGCAGAATGTAAGAGAACTTCCAGCAAGAATGGATAAAGCAAATCTGACTGTGAAAAGGGGAGAGAAGAGTATGGTACTCAACAAAACTGACCAAAAAACAAAACTTAAAGGGGAGGTGGGATGCACACATATAATTCGGTTCCACTTCTTGAACATCACCTGAAATTGTTTATTTTTCTCTAAAAAAAAGCCTTGTGGAATTCAGAAGATAAGGAGCCCCTTTCTTAAAAAGTAAACTAGTCCACTGGTGGGAGGTGACAGGGATATCTGGAAGAAAAAGTAGTAGTATGTGGGTAATACCACTAAATTCTGTGTGGGGAAGTTGGTGGAGAAGAGATAAAAATCTATCCAGGTGGGCATCTACACCTTAATAGTAAGGCTGTTGGGCACAGCCTCGTCACTATTCAGACTCTCAGGGCTTGAGAAGCAGGTAGGTGCTACTGCTTCCAGGCAAACACAACAGCCTTTGAGCATTAGTAAGTGACAGCTCAACTAGGTCTGTGAATCACAGAGTAAAATATCCAGCAGACTTTGGTGGGAGTGATCTGCCAAGAATGAATCACAAGAGATCAATGAAATGTGATGAAATTGTCTCATTTGCTTGGAGTGCAACTATTTTTAGTCTGTTTTATTCCTGGCATGTTTTAGTACAAAGTGCCACATATAAAGTTTTAATTTTCACTTAAAATGAAAAATCCTTTAAAAAAAAAAAGTGTGATGTTGACAGTACAAGTCTCCTTATGCCTGAGAGTGTAACTTGTCTCACTAAGAATGAACTGCTTCATAGACAAAAAGCCATTGTGTGTCCATTAACAAGGAATTGCAGTAGTTCATTCCAGAGCCAGGAGTTACATTTCCCAGATGTTCCAGGTCATTAGACTGTTGGTTTTAGAATTTACACAGCTCAGGCTGTAAACATGCAGCACCCCTAAGCTATCAATACTCATGTCAGCTATTTTCCCTGTTACCAAAATAACTACCCTCCTATTTACTCACATGGACTGTACGTACCTGTTCTCACCCAGGAAGATTTCATCAGCTGCGACACATTAAGCTTAGGATAGTGAAAAGCTGGGGGGAAAACAGAATAGAGGAAAAACATATGTAAGAGCAGTATTCTCAACAACAGCCACACACACACATAAAAGAAGCCACTTCATAATTTATATTGTCAGTAAGCGTCTTATTTGCACAGATGCATTTCAGCTCCTGAGGCTGCGCAGACCCAGCAGTGAGGCAAGTGCTCTGAACACCCTGCTTCATCTCTGAACACAAAGCAGCTGAGTGAAGCAGTTAGATTTATTACCTAAAAGGTTTCAAGCTACCACACTGAGGTCATTGCTCCTAGAAACGTAAAAGTAAAGCTCCCTGACCACGTTCTGATTCTTACTGAGCTAAGTGCAGCGTGAGACTTTTGCTCAAAGGGTGGTAGGGCAATTCACGAATGCCTGAGAATGGGAATACAACCTTCTTGGAGGCAGAAACTGCTCTGAAATATTAAGTGAGGCAGAAAACTAAACGGATCTTATTTGTGTTCTAGGCAGGTGTGCGGGAAATATTATTTGAAAAACATCACCTTGCTAAATTACTTTTCAAAAATCACAAAGAGAATGTGTAGAAGAGCATTTTGGTGGACAAAATTCTTGTGGCGTCAGTTTGGCCCGTGGCCCTATGTTTTCTTTAGTTCACAATTCTCCCCAAAAAGCTGTGCTAAAGAGTGAAATCCTTGCCCCAGTGAAGCGAATATAGCTAGTTTCCACTGATACTCCAGGAAGAAATTTTTTCCCAAGGTTTCCACTGGAGTGCAGTAAAGACATGTCGGGAAACAAGTGCAGATGGGGGCTGGGCCAACAGTTTGCTCAAGGGACGTCTGGAGCTTCAGAATAACAAAAGTATAACAGAAAGAAAAAGGAAGGGTCATAACGTTCTCAAAATATTTGATAATCCAGCTGCAGCTTGCTAAGCATTTTACAAAGGTTAATTTTTAATTAATTTTATGAACAGAAAGAAGGAGGTACGTAATTAAAATAACCATGTTCATGACAGATCAGTATTTAGAATAAGGATACCGTGTTTTCGGTTCTAGAACTAGAATGTATGGCGCTATTACTTGTTTCAGAAAAACACAACATTATTAGTTTTCTAATTTAATTAGTACATTATTTGTGGAGTAGCTGACCTCTGGCCGTCAGTCCACTTAGGTTTTGCCTTCTCAAATCCAATTTTTTGCCCCTTAAAAACCTTCTGATTTTTTTGTTATTGCAAGAGTAAGAGAATCACTAGTATTAGACTGTTTATTTTTATAGGCTCATAAGCCATCCTATAAAATAAAATACAACATTTTCTCAAGTCTTATTCAAGTCTATTACAATAATAGAAGCACTGGTTTTAAGAGTACCACTTGGGAGACACACTGTGACTTAATCTGCAGAACAGTATCAGGCTATGGGCCTTTATTCTGACTTGCAGACATCAGTACTCGGTATTCTGACCAGGATGCACTAAATTTCCTAAGACTCAAAGGAAGGAAAAAAAAAGAAAGAAAAAAGCATTCCACAGTCCACTTATTTTAACACATTAATTTTTGGCATGCTGCTGCATGGTTCTTCTGAGGGTAGCTTAAAAATTGGACAGTATTGCTCTGCTTATGCATTTGTTTACTTCAATTTAAAGATACAACTTGAACAACAAAATCATAAACTAAACTGCATCTATGGTTCCAAAGCTTGGGAAAAGGAAGATAAGAAAATCAAAGACTTTCCAATGGCAGTAAAACTTTGAACTTGTTGTGGGTTTTCTTTCATTTGAACCAATATGTTTCGCTTTGACTTATTGTGCTCTTCATGCTTTCTCTAATTAGTACTTGAAAATGATTTAATTCATGCAAATTGCTAGATGACTAGTCACTTAAACTTTACGTGGAATTAATGAAAGTTAAAAATAACAAGTCTCGAGCAGAAAATCTTAAAAATGAACAGGAGAAAATCCTCTGATCACTGGCAGCTGAGCCTGGGTTCTAAAACGTGACAAAGGAAGCACGAAATGAAGGACACTTCTGAAACACAGACAGCGGAAACCAGCCGGAAAATCCAATTCTTTCCCCACAGGTCACTCAACGTCACACCAACGCTCACGTGGCCAGAGCCCGAGCTCAGCTGGAGCATCAGCATGATGGGATCAGTTTATTTGCCAGATCCCTAATGCCCCCTAAGATCTAAAGATTAAAGACAGCATAGAGTAATTGCTATGCAGAGGGGAGGATCGGATAGACAAAATGCAATTGCAAGGTAGATTGTGGACGATCTGTAAGGACTATGGATGCTTTAGTAAGGAGCACACGGTCATCATTAGGGGATCCTAACACATGCTCCTGAAGTGGCACACACGGAATGGCATTGACTCAGCAGGCAGGGGAATGGCGAAGGGCCACCCCGTGCTCCAGACACCTCTTTGAGCGCACAGAGCTCATGCAAACGCCCTGTGGCAGAAGCTCCCGTGAGGACATGTGAGGCCTTGCACACAAAGACACGTGGGACCATGCATGATAGAGCTGGTACCAACTGATCCCTCCTATTTACAGCACAGGGAGGAACTACAATAGAAAGCATGGAGCAAATGCCCCTTTCTGAATGATGGGAACATCACTTAAAAAACAACAGTCCATGGAAATATTGAATTGTGGTTAACACTAAAACAATTTATCTGCTGTGAGTTTGATCCAAACCCCACTCCAATAAAAACTGCCAATAATTTCTGCAGTCGTTGAACCATACTATATGATTTTATATTAACCTACTGACCTTGCAACATATCCAAGGTTTCCACAAGAGATACTCTTACAGCACTGAACGAAACAGTAAGTCCCAAGGCAACTCTCTCTACTTTAAGCCATAACAAAAACAAAGATTTATCACAGATAAGGTCACAAAGGCCAACATCCCTCATAAAGGAAGCCACAGCTAGCTTTTGGCTAGCTTTTGGCTCAGAGACATCTTCCAGCCATGAAGACATACTAAATATATTCCCTTCTATCATTTCTAAGGAACTGGTGCCTAGTGCTTAGACCGGGGCTATGTTTTGCTGGCATGTAGCTCCTGCCCATCTAGGTGAATGAGTTACCAATCTAAAATGTGAGATGGAAAATGGACAGGGCAAAATTAATGGACAGGAAGATGTAAAGCGAACCTGTTAGCATAGGTGTGTTGCTGAAGTTACAGTTACCAGAAGATACTGAAAAAAGGAGAATAAAAACACACCTTCCCTGCCTTCAAGTCCTTCCTTCACACAACATGCAAGCCTAAGGTCCAGGAGGTTTCTTGCTTAGAACAGCCCTAGTCCTGCCCTGAATAGTCCATTCTGTCAAATTGACAACTTTTACTACTACTTTTCTTCTAAATAACTGGGAAAAATCTGACTGAAAAAATCCTAATTCTCAAAGATGTGCTGCACAAGGACAACCTACCCCTTTAAATGTATAAGAAGCACATCCAAATGATGTGAAAACCTAATGTGCGGAAGGCCACGTGAACAGAAATTAGGCAGCAAACACACCGTCAGAGCTCATAGGCAGGGTATCAAAGGCAAGTGTCACTTCACTTAGCCCAGCAATGCTAAGCTACAGCAGTATTACACAAGTAGCTTTTCCTTAATAGGAATCAACGTGAAACCCGACAGCTCAGCTCACATACAAATCAGTTCTTTTCCTTAAGATGCAGACTGTGATAAAACTTAAGAAAGCCTCAAAAAACTAGGTCACCACCAAGAGCATTAAGTGCTGCCGGGCCCAATAAATAAGGAGCAAATAGCACAGAACAGTACAGGAAAACATTTTAAATTTACATGTCAACATACTTCCAAAACTCCTGAAAATTTTCCTGTCAAAAGGGTGGTACATAATTTGCACAGAACAAAGCAGCCACCTGGCAAGGAAAGATCTTCACAATAGTTCCTCCACTGCATGACTGCTCTGTTGTATAGTGCTCTCCCATATCATCACAGAAAGCTGAGAGTCTGGAGCCCAGGAAGCCCTGAACTTTTGTATTTAGGTATCTCGTAGCCAAAGCCCTTTGGGGGATCTGGCTCTTGGTCATCCTCAAGAGACTGCTGAGTAGGATGTCCCAGGAGGGATCTGCCCTTTGCTGCTGAGGCTTTGGCATGACTGCTGGCTCTGAGCAGCAACAAATTAAAATTAAATCCCTTGGATCAAGACTGTTTCACAAGCACAGTGCAAAAAAAAAAAAAAAAAGTCTACAGCAACAACTAAAAATAACAGCAATAATGGCCCTGTTTTATAAAAAGGTAGGAACTACATTCATGCTTGCTGACAGACAGACCCAGAGCTCTGAGCAAGCTGAGAACTGTGTTCTCACTTTGCTGATCTATCAAATGGCACCATGGCTGGTGTTCCAAAGCAGTGAACATCGACGCCTTGAAGCACCACGGGAATGGCAGCAGAGAAGTTCAAATCAAAATGAGTTGTCATGCTGTTAGCTAAATCCACAGCAAATGCATTGCTCAAAGAATATGCAAGTCAAATACTGACAAGATACTCCTTGAGTTAGGGCACCATATCCACCAAATCCTCACTAAGACTTTAGGAAGATCTTATCTTTCCTAAAAAAAAAAAAACAGTGTATTTACTTGTCTCAATAAATTGAAATGGCATTTATTTCATTTTAACTTACTGAATGTATTTCATTTTATTTCATTTTTATTAATTTGTACTGTATGTGTTGCACACAAATTTGAAGGCTCTACAAAATTTCACTATTAAGTAAGAGACACGCCACTGAGCAGACTAAGAGACACCACCACCGTCAAGTTCTGACAAAGAGGCAAATGCTATGCTATGTTGGCAGTATTCAATAGTTAGGCCGGGTCATGAAATGCAAGGGTGCACATTCACGGATCGGCTGGTTGGTTGATAGATTGGTTGTCATCATCCTTCCTAACAGAAATGTAGACTAATCTAAAACAACGGCATCTATCAAAAGCTCCAGAAATGAGTCCAGGAGAAAACATTTGTCATAAAGGACGTAATCACTGTTGATGAGCAAATCTGCCTTCCTACATTAAGGGTTTGTTTGAGGATTTGAGCTTTGGAGGTGTTTGGGAGATTTGCTGGCAGATTGAATGGAATGGAGAATAATTTAGCATTTGATGATAAGCACAATCTTGACGTCTAGGCTGGATTTTGCAGAAACAAGGTTAAATCTCATCCACATGCTTGGATATGCAGAGAAGCTCAATTTGCCAGGGAATAGCAGCCAACTTTTATATGAGCTTTTTGCAAATCCTCACAGCAGCCAAGCACAAGGAGAAATTCTAAGGGAGCATTTTCAGTGGGTGCTGTTTGACCTTGTCACTCATTAACTACTGAGCTACTGTAGAGCTCTCCTGGATGTGAGCTCTAGGCATGCACATCATCCAGGCACAGCTCTTGCCCTGAGAGCTTAAGAAAAAAGAAAACAAAAGTTACCTTTGAATTTCTGAAATATCAGTAGAAAAGAATAAAAGGAGAAGAGCACATGCTTAATAGTAATGCTTTTCCCTATTGCCAGCCTGCCTTTCAGGCTATATAGGCCCTGGTTGAAATTCTGTTCTCATTTTATCACACTTTAGCAACATTGCACAACCTAGAAGATGGATACTCAGCAAGAAGCATCCTGCAAATTCACTATAAACCATATCATAAAGTACGTGGACAAACTTAAAAACTATAGGAACAAATGTGTGTAAAGTGCAGAAAAGAACAAGAGACTAAAATAATACCCAAGCAACAAAAAAAAATAATAAGCTTTAGGGCAAATGGGCAAAAGCTACCATGCAGAATGAAGACAAATAACTTTTAAGCAATCAAGGCAACAGCAATATTTAGTTTTAATTCAGTGATAGAAAAAGATCATGACCCACAATTTCAGAAACTCTGAGGCCTCTCAAGGAACAAAAGACATGTTGGTTGTGTTTGGACAAGGGTTCTGATTTTTCCCTGGCAAATCATAATATGCCAAGAATTTTGGTCCTAGCTCAATTTAACACAGCTATCACACACAAGTATGGTTTATGTGAGAGCAAACAAGAGCCCAATGCAAAATTCTGACACACTCTCTCAGTGTGTATTATGGGGGCAGAGAGATCAAAATCCCTAAAAGTGAAAAGAAACCAAAACTAAAAAAGCTAAAAAAAAAAAAAAGAAAAAAAAATTTCTTGGGTTATCATTTTGCATAGATTTAAAGATGCTATAGAAAATAATTGCTTTTTGTAGCAATTACTCTGGCTATCATGGCTTCATTGACATACTACTGTACAGTAGAAAATGCCATTAGGTCTGAATTCCCACTTGACACTTGATTATGTAGAGAAAATCACTGTGTCAGGCCCTCGAAAAATAACTCAGAGATAATTTAAAATCTGCATTGGAATACAAAATGAGGAAAGATAAACTGGGAATGCATGGATATTACATTACATTAACGCCTGCCACCAGGAAAGGCAGTACTGTAACACCACAATCTTATTTATGGTCACTAGTCATTTTTGTCAAGCAAAGTATGCAAGGATAAGTCTTGATCTTAGAAGTCTAGCTTATTTATGAGAAAGAGGTCACCTGAAACATTTAACAAAATGTACGTCATAAAAACGTAGTGTCAGGCAAACTCTACTATGCAACTGTTCCCCATTAATCTAAGTTTAGGATGGCCATGGAAAAAGTGACATGCAATGGAAGTAGTACATGAGGACAGCGACATGCTGGGGGTATCTTAAAAGATAACAGGCTACTTTAAAAAGCACTGCTACTGACAGCTAACAAAGACTGTATGAAAGCAAATCAGTTCAAGCTTAAGTTGCCAGTGCTGCCAGGGCTTACTAGAAGTCACAGAGCCACAGTTAAGCATGGCACAGAACCCAGGGTAGTAAATCATGCTGAGAAGCAGAAAATGCCCCTGCAGAAATATCCAAGGACAAACCTAGGACCAAACTTCACAGAAGTAATGACTGGAGTGACTTCTTTTTTTTTTAATCTAAAGCAAGACCCGGGAAAATGAAGCCAGATTAGGCCCCACGTGACCAGTGCAGAAAGAAATGATGCTGGCAAAAGCAGTAAGTTGCCGTGACACTGGTACAAAACATGTGAACAGAGAGGTAGAGATTTGCTCTGCAAAGTCCCTGACACTTACGTACCTGTAATTTTTGTGCAGAATGACTTCAAATTACTTGAACAGAGAAAAAAAGACAATAAAAATAGCATTTTTCAGTCTTGTTAGCAGCAAGTACTCACGTTCAGCAATTTGCTGCACGGGAAAGCCGAGATAGAAGCTGAATTCCACCACAGACAAGTTCCTTAGCTGCTCGCTGACGTCGGACCCGTTTAGGAAACCATATTTATCTCGGATGGCAAAAACAATGCTGACAGGGCCCTGCCGAAATGCTGCCCCAGCCCTGCTCAGAGTTATATTCAATATCTGAAAACAAGATTGGAGCAGGGTTAGAAAAATCAAATCATTGCCATTTCCATTTCTTCCTTCAAAGAAAATTTCTTCCTAACGTGAACTGGAACTCTACATCAGAACAGGGGGACATCAGTTAACTCTAGATTAATTCAGCCTGCAAAGTCGTAGCAAGATCTGACAGTAATGACTTTAAAAAGGGCTGGGCAGCCTTTAGGTGAAAAACTATGACTATGTTACATTTCTTTTATATTCATGACTGATCTTTGATATGAACCTTCATGTTCTTGGATCATCTTCTCAGAAAGCTTGAACCCAGAGGGATGTGTGATGCCAAACTGTCCTGCTTTAGGACAAAGCACTAGAGTTCTGCATGATCTGGAAAGCAGGTGATAGCAGTGCACCCCTAACTCAGTATTACTGGCTGGATGAAACCCAAGACAGCCAAAGGCGACGAGATACAAAACACGTGAACACGCTCACCTGCACAGTGAAGTTGTAGAAGTCCTGGTGGTGTTTGCTCACCTCCATGAATGCCATTGTCAGCCCTTTCTCAATGCGCTGGCTAAAGTTGCAGAACCCAACGTCCACATTCCGAGGCACAAACTGAAGCACTGAAAGCAAAGGGGATATGTTATTCCTAGAGACAAACACTCCCATGAGAGAAAATGAGAACAAAATAAGCAAGAGATTCCTCATTCCACAGGTCTGTCTCTGGCTACAGTAATTCATCTAGTCATTAATATCTGTTGCAACAATATTTACATTACAAAAAGAATCTACAGGAAAAAAAAATCTACTACTATCATACTTAAAGATCTTTGCTACAGATAATCTGGATAGTTTTACAGAACTTGAACACTGCCACACTGAAATCCTCAGTACTCAACAGTTTGATGAAAATCTGAAAAATAACAAAATTGTTCAGAGACTGCTATTTAATACTTAACACACGTATTTACTCCACTAACATCAAGAAATGCATCTGCTGTCTATCTTTAACCATGCTAAGCAGTGAGAAAGGCATCACACGACCACAGTGAAATTAGCTCTTACAGTACAGATGTTAACAGAGCAGAAACAGCACACGAAGCATACATAAATAAAAGCACCTATGTTGGAAATTCATGCAGTCCCTGCTCATGTACTCCCATTTACTCAATCTCTGTCATACCTGATTACTCAAAGTCATCCAGTTTGGTTAGTGTTTTTGTTATGTAAATACTGGCTAAAGAAGAAGATTTCAAGGGATACCACTCTCTCTCAAAACTATTTCATGGTTAACATCTTACTTTAGGTTTTTAGTAGTCATGGACTTTACATTAACTATTGCCATAAAGGAGCTATGGGAAGCTGCATCCTACATTGTCAATCCTCTAGCTCACTAATCCCCACATCTGAAGAATTTGGAGTACTAAAATTTAACCTAAAGATAATTCAAAACTTGAATCACATATGAAAAAGTGGCTGCATTGTGATTTTATGACAGAATGCTTTGCACACGGAAGTTTTTCTCTTATTACCTTTTCCAAAATGCTGCAAATGAAGTGCAGAACAGGGGATTGACCAGCAAGGAGTAAGTTAAAAATAAGCACATTTTGCAATAAAACAGCAGGGCTACCACCCTACAGAGGAATGAATGCAAACTCCCTTCATTCGCTCCACTAGTAAACTATCAATTAAAATAAGCAAGAAAAAAATAACATTTCTCCAGGAAAACTCTGGAACCAGTGAAATTTCAGAGTTGGCTGCTCAGAATGCAAAATCTTTCTCTATCACAGATGCAACAAGCATTTTATTAATAGGCACAAAATAAGACTCACAGCAGTAGAAGGCAAGGTTTCTGACACAAGCTTGCCTACTTATTAATCACAAGACTATCCACAAGTAAAGAAGCGTGAATAGCAGAAAGCTCCATCTCCTGCTCTTACGGTTGGGAACAACTCACCTGTCTGCACTTGGAATCTGTTATCCGGCACAGTGAAAGAAGGGTGCAGGGAGAGGATGAGGGGGGCCTGACCACGAAGAAGACTACTGTTCATAAGCACGTTTATGACAGCCACTGCCGTGTAAACAAAAGGACCCGACGTCACCAAGAAAGCAAATCTGGGGGATATTTTATAAACCTACAAAAAAGAAAAAGAAAAGGTCTTCAACATGAAATTTGACAAGCACACTTTAGACCTACAGCGTCCCACTCATTTCAAAGCCCCATCCTCAAGGGGAAGCAAGATGCAAAAATGCAAACTTTATTTTACTTGTATTTATGTTTTAGCAGAAGCAAAATAATAATAATAAAAAGAAAAAAAAGAAAAAGCAGGAAAGAGCACCATGTCTGATAGCATGCCAGAGTGGTATTTTCCATGTGCAAAGTTCGCCTACCAAACTCTCTCCAATATAATGCATGGATCTCCACACACTATGACTTAACATATGGCAGTCTAGTAGGAGCGCCACCCCAGCTAGTCTGTATTCCCTCGGCTGCATGAAAGTTCCTACAAAAATTGGTGGCTACGCCCTGACTCACCTCCATAGCTTCTGCCTGGTACATATATCCCATAATATGCACGTATCCTATGCAAGAAGCAAAATGCATCCAGCTTGTGTTTTATGTGCATAATTTTCACACAGAAGCACACGTTTTCTTCTGCAGAACACTTCTCCCCATTTTCTTATTACAGCACAGCTACGGCAATTACATTACTCTTCTTCTAACTCACCTATCTCCTGACTTTGAGCAATCCTAGATATCCTGAAGAGCTTTAGTCATTGTGTAAAAGAAATGGAAGTTGAAAGTTAAATATAAAGCTAGGTTTCATAATGACACTTTTATAGGCCATTATTCTGTCACCTAAATAAAAACAAAGTGAAGGCTTGTATTCATTTAAACATGTTGCTGTGTCTTCTCTCCCTGAATTTGCACACGGAAGTTTTTCCTTTCCTTGGCCTTTTTTTTTTTTTCCTTTTTTTCTTTTCTTTTTTCCTTTTCTTTTTTTTACTCTCCTAATTGCCCTGCCTGCCCGAGCAGTCAAACTACAATATTTGGGGATGTCCAACATGGCAACCTCACAAACACTCAATCCAGAGCACAGTCATCTGCATCTCTTAGATGAAAAGACACTTGCACCTTGCAAGCTTCGCTTGGTGAGGGGGTATGTTAGCTATGGGACACTTTAGGATCAGCCTTAGGGAAACATACAGTGCCACCTAAATCATGACCCACGGCGTTCCTTCCTTTCTATGGTACTATAAAATACTGGCAATTGCTGTTTGGATGAGCTAGGAGGCAGCCGCTTCCTATCCTCTAAAAAACACGATGCAATTTTAAAAAGAACATCTTCACTCAAAGAAACCAAGTAGCAGAAAGCAAAAAAAAAAAAAAAAACAAAAAAACAAACAAAAAAAACCCACCTTTCCTCATTTCTCATTATATTCACAAAATCATGCAGCATCCGGTTTTTATTTTGAATGGATTTATACCTGTATCACTCAAATTTGTTTCATATGCACAGCTCATTTCAGTTCCTCTTCCCTGAAATTTTATCCTTTTATCTGAAGATGAAAAGATTTCATCATTTGTCAAATGGCAATAGCATACAACAGGTAAGACATGCCAAAGGAATGATGTCCATTACTTGCAAAAGAGACTACTTAAAAGGCATGAAAAAAATAGAATTACAAATCTCAGCAACAATTTGCTGGTGCTTTCTAAAACAATAAATGCAGAACAAGAGAGCCCCAGTGCAGCCAGTATATATCCACCTACACTCCGGTGCACCACAGACTTCAGTCTGCCCCAAACACTTCCCTGAAACTTTCCATTGGCATTTTAGTCTCAAAAGCTAACATTCAGGTTTCTCTTTTGAGACTCACATCAGCAGAAGGGCCATAGTAACTCCACGAGAATGGATATTTTAAATATTTTAAGTGTGAGTACAAGATTAGTAGATTGCAACCACTACAGGCTCAAAGCAATAGCTATTTCGGCTTGAGAAAAAGGCTTCAGGGCTGTCTAGAGTGAGCTCTGAACAACCTAATTGAGATGCCAGAAATAACAGAGCCACGCTAGCATGCTGCTCCCTACAAGTTAATTCACACCGAAATGTGGAAAGCTATCCAGAACAGGCAAGAATCGCTCCTGACTCCCGAGGCAGGAATGAGAACAGCTCCTCCTGGCCCAGCTCTCCTGGCTCACAAACGCAGCTGCCCATCCAACCCTCTCCTGGAGGTTTCATCTCTATCACCAGGGCAGGTAGATGCTTGGCCAACTAGCTACTGAGCCACCTACTATAGAAAACAAGAATCCATTTCCTATCCTCATGTCTAGGGCTATAAAGCTCCAGAAGCATCCAAATGCCCCGTGTATACTGAGCCATTTCCACAGCAGAAGCAGAAAGCCAGGGGAGAGCCATGAGACTATCTCGAGTTGAGCTGCATCTTCTCCCAAAAGAAACAACTAATCCGACTGTGCTGCTTCCTGGGCACAACCTGTCTCATTCACAGCCACCCTGACACAGACACTGCTTCTAGAACAGAAAGTTTTTGAGACAAAATTTTCTAGAGGCTAGAAGAACACTTGGGGAAAGCATCATTATAGATTTAGCCTGTCCCCTATGCTTTTCCTTATGCACTTGCATTTCGTTGTTGTCAGAGGAAATGTACTCTACTAGATTTACCTTGATGATCCAATACTGCTGCTTTTACTTCTACAGACCACTGTATTATGCTGTGTAGTCACCTGGCAGAAAGCATAAATAATGGATTTCCTTTCCCCCACCTTACCAAGAATACTGTAAAGAAACTGCAGAGAGCATTTAATTCTTAAAGATGTCCGACAGGGGTTGATGGGTCTTAAAAACGAAACAAACATTTTGCTTCTACACACATTAGGATCACAGGAGAACATTCCCACAGCATTTTACACACCTAAGTCTTATAGCAGTCAGTGCGAGTACACATAGTAGCTTCTTTGCAAAAAGTACTTTACTACCCGACTTACTTTAGTAACCTTAACTTGCCGTGCTTTTAAGGCAGATGTTTACAATCTTTGGATTATTAACTAGGCTAAATAGGCTAAAGACAGGCCTAAAAGCCATAATTAAGCATAGCAATGAAGCACATACTTCTCAGCATATACACTAAGGTATGAATTATACTTAAAAATAAAATTTCCAAATTGCAAATGTGTTTTTTTCTGTTGGCATGAACTCCCTGGCATCAGGGGTGCTCCTGCCAGCAGAGCACCGCCACACTCTTCGTTTTTCACACCCCAAGGTGACAAGCCTAAGTCAACAGGGCTTTGTATAACACATCTTACTCAAGTGTCGTAAGGTTTGCACTGTGGAAGGTTGACAAAAATTGCATGTGTTCAAACAGGCCTTTTTCTTCTGCAGATGCAGTGCAGGGAGACCAACTAGAAGCAGAACGCTAAAATTTTAGGTCATTTTCAGTTTGCTGAAAGGCATTTTGCTAGAAAAAAAATGACCAAAAAAAAGACAAACTGACAAACAGATTTTTATTAAACAGGATTCAAGCCTGCCCCTCTATTTTTTTTTTTCATTTCAACAGCTAATGTCTGAAACAGAAAAGAATCAAAATCCCAAGCTTCAACTGAAAAAGCTGTGGGGAGGGAAGACAACTTCTTGAATTCCCATTTCTATGTAAAATTTGGTCTGTGTTTAAAAGGCATAATAGTTGCATCCTCGGTTGTCATGGATTGCATTTTCAAAGTCTGCATTATTACCAAGTTAAATTTAACAGGACTGTCTCCTGATTCACTGTATATCACATCCCTGCCAGGAAACATTATGTATGAGTTGTAACAGAAGACAGTAAAAAAGTAGCTTGAAGTCACTGCTTTACCATAACCCATGATGCTCACTGCTCAGGTACAATGTATTCCTGACTAACAAAGGTCAGGCCAGTTTACTTAAGTTGAGAATATAGAAGAATTCTCTTAAAAAAAAATGGATTACCTTATCATTAAACTTGCCAACATTATAGACAGTTCTTTATTTAAAACACATTTTGCTAGTACTACCCTGTTAGAAATGAAATAACTTTTAGTGAAAAAAAGCATAATAATGGCATCATGAGGAGAGGACACATATGATAGCAGTATTCCACCATTAAATAAATAAAGCTATTTTTACAGAGATGTTTTTCCTTCTGATAAAAATAGAATTTGCAAAGAATGTAAGTGGACTAACTGTATTATTTATAAAAGCGGTTGCCTTTGAGCAGTCTTAGGGCCAGTATATCCCATTAGGAGCTTTGCAAAGCAATAGTGGACATGAAAGGAAGGAATTTAGAGTGAAAAATACATAAAGATATCAAATGTTAGCTCCACTCAACTTCTAAATATTTAGCGATCTATTTCATTATTTTGCTGACACTACTAAGGCAGTAAGCACTTTCATATTACTGAAGAATATATTTTATAAAGCCACTGATAATCAGTGCAGTTTCATCATCAATTTGTCTGTATCAGTTTGCACAATCTGAAAATTTGTTTTTTAATCCAAAAAAAATACCTGCTTATAGGCACGTATTGATAAAGGGATCTAAATTAAACACAACCTACAGTGGCAGCTCATAAAATCACACAGCACAGAAGAGGAGCAATAAGAATAATGTGGGTGTTGTAATAATTGACTATGGACTGTTGAATAAGGAAAAATCTCTGTGAAACTCTGTACTTTTCCACTAATCCTGGACTAGAGACAGCTTCTCAGTTATTTTTGTCTGAAGTGAGTAAAAGGGGCTAATTCTCTTTTTACCTTCTTTGCCTTTCTGATTCACTGAAAAAAAGGATTTATCCCAAAATGTATAAATAAATTTATATACAAAAGAATAAAAGCCAAAACCAAAATGTGATTCTTTGAACTATCCACTGTTTTGGAGAGGAGGAAGAGCACAGCAAGAGCAGCACTGGAAGAGCACAGCAAGAGCGCAGCTAGCCAGCCAGGCTCCTCAAGAGCAGGAGTCTGATACTACCAACAACGCATGCCTACTGGGAATAGCAATTGTAACCCTGAGCCCAATTGCTACTCCTTGAGAGAAAAGGCTGGCCCGGATTCATAAAACTCTTACCCTGACTGAATAGTGTAGGGGTACATTGTAAAACAAGAGCAGCCGCCCTGTGCCATTACACCAGTTCAGTTACTGCTTGCAGCGATGTTGCTGGTGCTGCCCAGAGGCCGCTGTGCTGCACAGACCGGCAAGGGGGTGGCCTCAGCACCCAGTGGGCGGGAGGCTGCACGGGAGGCGCTCATGTTCAGACAGCAACTCGAGTTAACCTGGCACTGAACGTAAAATCGTAGATCCCGAAACCGAAACCTCACAGGGAACCACGTAGGGCCAACTTGAAGGGCTTAAAAATAACATCTGCCATTTGAACACCTGATTTTCTTTTCCTTTGTTCTTTCATCTGCCAAATCCTGCATGTGGGATTCCAACAATCACCCTGCAAGTGCAGATGAGCTCACCGACAAGATAAAAAAGCTTAGAACTGTGGGGAAGGTTTTGGTTTATCTAAGGTGCAAAGCCTATAATGAGCTGGCAGCAGCAGCAGAACTTGAAAAGATACTTGGAAGGGTACAAAGCTTTTCAGTTCCGTTTCACTTCACCACTCAGGGAAGCGGGTGAGGGGCAGAGGCCGCTGCTTGGTCACCTATGCCAGGAAGGAGAAGGTGTGCCCTAGAAAACACACTCTAAAAGTAAAAAGCTGACGTTACAGTCATTAAAAGAAGAAAACATGACTACTAGATTTAAAACAGAACAAACCTTCCTGTGATTCAGTATCATATGGGTTGTTTCTAAATGACCATTTCACCCTGCACACTGAACGTGCTGCTGCATCACATTGATCGAGGAACACGTACGCACGCTCTGTACCACTTACCTCCAGCTCCACCGGGCGCCTGAACTGAACTCTGAGCACTTCTCTGATGGCTTCACTGACATTTTGTAGAACGGCTCTTCGGGCCAGCACTGGAAATTAATGCCAGTCAGTAAGTACATTTTAGCCGCATCGCTGGGGCCTTGGTTCAAAGCTACTTTTTCAACCGTGTAACATGTGCAAAAGCAGGCAAAGAGATAAACTATGGCAAACACGTAAGACAATGAACCAGGAAACAGGTGAAGATGTGACTGCATCCTAAAAAGTGATGCTAAATAAAATTTAAGGAGCTCCAAGTTTATTCTGTTTTTTTTTTTTCATAGCTAACTTCCTCATTATTCTAGCAAATAATTTTAAGAGCCATTGAGGCATTCAAAAAGCATCCAAAAGTCATAGTGCATTTGGTGTGATCTGTGCACCACAGTGAGTCTGCTGTCATAACACAGTTAATGTTTCATAGGCAATGCATGGAATGCAGATGAGGTCAAAAAAAAAGCCACAAAAACATGCATCTACTTCTCTCTTAAATAAAAAGTAAACAAATGTTACACTGATTACTGAAAGAGATACCCACTGAGTAAAAGAAGCTGTTTTTAAAAATTTTACACCCTTATGGATGTTATGTCTGCTACAATCACACTTCAGACTGTGCTTATGGATGAGGAAACAACTGAAAAACATGATGTGGTCATTCTCTATCTACTTTTAATCAGTAATTTGCTTAAAAACTACTCAAATTACAAGTTAATAAAAAAGTCTTCCTCATCACCATCACAGTGAGACCACCCTCCTGCCTGGAGGAGGGAACTACGTTCATTCTGATTCACGTATTACACTTACTCATTAATTGACTGGCTAGAATATACAGCACTTGTACAGCTGCCCTGTATTTGATCTGTAGTACTGCTTTGTTAACAACCTAGACAGAGATAGGAAAACACCAAAAAAGCAGCCACATGCTACGAGACCATTGATTTTGAAACATACAGCTGTCACTTTTCTGGTTATAGCCACACCAAATTCAGACAAAATAAATATGGGAGGAGGGGAAAGTACAAATGCTACATAGCACAGTAAAATGATAAAAATGCTAATAAAAACAAAAATTTTGAAACCAGATTTCCTGTTTCATACTAAAACATTTCCTTGCATGTGGGCTTTTGCTTATGAACAACAGCAACAGCTTCAGAGAAGCTTATTCAGGGAGTAAATTTAATAATTTGGCAGAACAGAGTCTTGAGAATAACATTCACTTTCAGTCAACCAACTGACAAAGCAACTGCAAATACAACTTGCTATTATGTAGGTAAAAGCAATTTTAGAACACTATTGCATTCACTGTGCGCTGCAATGTGTATGTAATTCACTATCACAATGGACTTTATTCAAGTGAGTTCCATTATTTGCAATAACAAATGATAAATCAACAGTTTTACAGCTGTTTGCCTAAACTCGCACCGTATTCCTTTGCAACGGTTACTTGGCTAATTCAACGCTTGCAGTTTAACTAAGAGATCACTTGGCAGTGGTTTCTGAAAAACAGAATCAGACTGTTGGAAATCTCTTACCAGCAGTGACCAGGTACGTGTCGGGAACCGTGATGTCGCAGACGTACGGCGGCCTGGTCGTGGTCACGGTCGTGGTCGTGGCAGGGGTTACAAACGTGGCTGCAGACGCAGTGGTGGCGGCCAAAGGAGGGGACGAGAACATATCTGGGCTGCTCTCTGTAGCTGTGGTGCCACGGCTGCTCACAGCACTCGTGGCAGTGGTGGGGACAGCATGCGTTGCATCAGCACCATCGGCTACACCAGTTCTCTGCGGAACGTCGTATCCCGTGGGAGTGATCGGAGACGGAGGGGATTGTGTGGGGACAAATGACGGGGTCACTGATACAGATTCTGCAGGAGAGGGCATGATGCCGCTCACGTCGCTCTGTGAGGTGAGATTGTCAGGATCCACAGTAGGAAGTGCAGTGCTAGCACTGACCTCAGGGTAGGATGTTAAAAGCAACGTGGGGTTACCTGTAGCACCAGTATCCTCATCAGGAGCTAGAACAGTTGACAGTAGAGATGAAGATACATTTAAGACAGGAGTTGTAGGAAAGGTAGTAAACAAGGAGACCAGATTTGTTTCATTGAGCGAGATGCTGCTGGTTACAGACTCGGTGTCAGCTATGGACAGCACCGGGGTAGGAACCACTGGTTGAGAAGAGAAGAGTGAAGACTCTAACGCAGAGGTAGCTCCTGTAAAAGCTGAGGTAAACAAAACTTCAGAATCCATCAGCAACATGGATGTTGCTTCCAGAAATACAGATGAGTCCGAGTGAAAATGTGACGATGGCATTATTTCGGGAACCTGGGTCCCTGGAACAGAGGACGCATTTGAAGAAAAGTATGACATTTGCCAGAGAGGGAGCTGAGAAGTCTCAGTGTCTGTGCTGACAGGGGTAGCTGAGTCCCAACTGGAAGCATCCCCAGGAAGTGCTGATGTTCCAGTCAACAAGGTCTGAGGTAATAGTGTTGCTAAATCACTTGGCATGAGAGAGTAAGAAGTTTGTATGGCTGCTGCTGATGAAGACAAGTAGCTAGGTTCAAAAAGAAACGGTGTTGATAGAGGGCTGTATGGAAAATCCGTGATATTTACAGGTGATTCTTCCCTTGCCGATGTCTTGTCAAGCAAAACTAAAGATTCTGATGGTGTAAATTCTAGTGACTCCAGAACAGTCATATGACTGACTGCAAAGGATGGTTCTGGCTCCCTCAAGGTGAAGGTAGATTCAAACGGAGTATCAGGAAGATCTACACTAATGCTCGGTGTTAACAGAAGAGTTTTCATAACAGGGAAGGAAAACTGAGCAGAGGAGACGTTCAAAGCCATTCCTCCAGAGAGCTGACTGTAAGAAGGAAGAATTGCTGTAGGCATTATGTCGTTAATGACAGCATCCACAGTGCTTAATAGAAACATGGTTGACTCAGGGATTTCTGCGAATCTTGAAGAAAATGAAACAACAGGTCTTGATGGAAAAGAAGTATCAAAAGTTTCAGGTGTAGGCTCCTCTAATTCATAAACATCAGCTATTACGGTTGTAAATGGGCTTAAACCTTTTACTTCGGAGGCTTGCAGAGACAAAGTTTCAACGTAGTCACCTGAGCCCACCTCATGCTCCACAGAAAAGCCTGGCTCCGCCAGGGAAACCGAGTCACAGTACAAACAAGACACGGATGCTCTAGTGAAAGGCACTGGGCTTATGAGCTCGTTGGAAAGCTCAGACTGACTCAGTGTTTGGGAACTGGCAGGCAAACTTGGTGCTGTACTGGAGAATCCATGTGTAAACAGGTTGCCATTAAGAACCATGTCAGTGTCACTGAACATGGCAGGGGAGGAAACCGGGAGAGATGCAAGTGGAAGACTGATTGGAAACAAAGCAGGCTTGGCACTGCTGGTGGAAACAGGGCTGGCCCAGGGAACACTGGAAGAGGGATGGGTCCCTCGGCTGACAGCTCCTGTTGCCCTGCTATCCACGTCAGTGTAAATGTCATCATGTGGGTCTGCTGTAGCCTGTGCTGCAATATGGCTGGTTTCATCCAGCAGCCTAAGAATGGCTGACCCTTCTGAAGTGGCCCCCGAAGGCAAAGATGCTAAACTCTTACTGATGTTCTCCCAACCTGCAACGACCTCTTCTGAAGGAATGGGAGTGAAATAAATATCTGTGTTTGGAGAGTGCAACAGCAAGTCTCTGCTTGCAGTTAAAACTTCACTACCTTGTACAAAAGGCTGTAATGTTGTAAGTATGTTACCGCCTTCAGAGACAGCACTTAGCGGGGTCTTTTGCAGTGCTGTTTCCATATCATATGGCAAAGAGGAGCCTGATAATGAAGGCGCTAGCAACACAGTTTCCAACGTGTCTTTTGGTGGCTCGATTGTATTAACTGAGTGATGAGCTGTTAAAACCGCAAAAGACTTGGGCAGCGGAGTCCACTGCTCCTTTGGAAAGGAGCTAGTGAATTGGTCGTCGCTTAGGAAGGCTTCGTTGCTGGTTACGGAGACACGCACGGGTGGGCGACCTACCCCTTCTGAGCTCCTGACCGCTTCGCCTTGGTTAAATAAAGTCACATCAAGGGGAGTGGTGACCGATGATAAAACCGTTTGAAGAAAACTGTTTTCTGGGGAATCCAAAGTACTTTTTGCTAAGGCCATATATGTCCTGCTGCCTGATATGCTTTGGTGCACCTTTGAGTCCACTGAGAAAAGGGAAAAATTTTGCTGCTCCAAGGATATCTCATCTAAATTGAGAGAGAAAGAGAGAGAGAAAAAAAGTCACAGATTAGCACACAAGTGGAAGCAGCAAACATTGCAAACTGCATTTCTGGAGAGCTTTGCCAAGAGTTTACAGGGTTGGGACAAAACCTCTCTGTACTTAAACAACCAGAGCAAGTCAACCCAAATAATAGCTTTCCTTGTGAAACTCCCTTCCTTGGGAAACGAGTAGGACGATTTGACTCTTCTTAATTCACAACTCCGGAGCACCCTATGGAGCTGCTGTCTCACTAGCCCCCCCGCCCGGCCCCGAGGACAGAAAGCAGCTCCCTCCTACCCACACGAGGCTGCAGGGCAGCTCAGCTAGCGATCCCACACAGCAAATAAATCAAAAAGAGCACGGAGGTGCAGTGCAGGGAAACGTTTTGCTATCTTTATGAATCCAATTTAGAGCTTCTGCTTTCCATTAGTACCACTTCATTTCCTCCTGTTTTATGATTTCCTAATCCTGGGCTCTCCAGCAGTTCAGTGCAGCGCTGAGTGCAAGCTAAGCAGCAAACACAGCACTGCTCTGCTATACAGCAAAGGGGCAGGGAAGGGGTCCTGCCTCCTCCACCCCCACTCCAGCCCCCAACACACAATTTTGAATGTACGCTGATTAAATATCAAAGAACAGCATCAAGAATTCATTAACAATATATTGCTCTGGCATTGAAATGTGGGGTCTTCCATCTAATGCAAGGGCATATTTTGCTTTTCAATGGACATACAGTATTTGCAAAAATGGTCCCCATTCACTTTTAGTGACCCAAAATCCAGACAAAATTCTTGCCCCCTATCTAAAAATAGTATGTAGCCATCATACCCTTTCTACTGCCTCCTATCAGCCTCCAGAGACACATTTGCAGACCTGAGAGATGGCCTTAGAAAAAGGTGTCTACAGCAGAATTATATTTGCTTGTTCTTGTCTCCAGCTTCCAGTTCCCATTGTCTGAACTCCCATATAGAAAACCCACAGTTCTGCTGGAACTTTCAGACACAGCAAAACACTGAAACTGCGGTCGGAGGTACCTTCTTCCCAGTGTGGTACATCCACTCTCTCCACCGCCATTCAAACATGCTTACTCTTGCGTCTCTCTTTAGAGATCTTAATAACGACCCTGAGGTGCTCACAGCCAAAACCACTAACAGCTGCTGGACCTGCGCAATATTCTGGTGTCTGAGTCATGCTTTGGAAGTGCAGATTCCACACTGGTTATTGCTGAAGGTTGCTCTGCACCTTCACTCTAGTTTTACTGGTGATCTTCAAGACATCAAACTGTTGCCCAAAAAAACCAAACTCCAAGAAGGGCTTTTTTTTGCTCCATTTTAAAGACGAGCTTCTGCCAGCACCTGCAATGAGTGACATTTATGTCACTTATGAGACATGAAGAGGGGTTGCCTTCGCATAGGGCGCAGTGGGATGTTGATGTCAATGGCAAGAATTTGCTAAGAAGAAAAATGACCAGTAGCTGCATTTATATTGCCTGGCATTCGCTTCACGTCTGGCCTTTAAACAGTTGGCGGCAAATTGCCTCATTCCACAACTGCCATCTTCACTCACATCCACAGCAAGAGTGCTTAGTTTATGGGCCACCTATAATAAAACTTCACTCTTCCAATTTACAGAATTTTAGTAGTAATAGCTTGCTTCAGGCACAAAAGAGAAAAGCTAAGAATTCTCTACACATTTTAATCAACATACTTGTAAAAAATCATATATGAATGCCATTTGCATTAGTTGAGTATAATTCTTCCACTCTCATAAAAGCATTCTTGGGGTATTGTGAAGATCTGAATATAACCTTTTCCAACCACGGACATATTTTGCAGAGAAACTGTAGATTATTGCTTGAGTATTTTACTAGAGTGTCAAGACTGCATTATTAGCTTTCAGAGCTGATTATTAAAGGAAATTGCAGAAAAATTGCTCCAGGACATCTTGCTTGTATATGCATAAAGCCTCCATCCTTAAAGTAGCTAACCCATCTGATCATCCTGTTTTCCCAACATTACCGCTTTCTTACAGCAGTGTCCTTGCAATGCTACTGGAACCTACAGACAACACGCATTAAAAAGGAGGGGAGGAGGTAAAGGGGAACCCACGCAGGCACCCAGTGAGGGAACAGACTAAAATAAAGATGGCAATACCAGTACAGAGCGTGCCACAGTGCTACAGTGTAGCGCTCAACTGCAGCCGTGTTTGTAACCTCCTAGAAGCTGCCTCCAAATCAATAACACCCGGGAGCCTTTCACAGCAGTTCACTGTTACACACGTGGCAGACTAACAGCACTTCCCAAAAACGATATATTGCTGCAATTATCCCCTCCTTAGTCTGCATACTAAATTCCCTGACACAATTTTTCAAACACTGACTTACTGAATTGATATTTTTCGAATCAGATGATCTGAAATGCACAATTAAAGGTAAGAATTAATGCACAGAGTTAATACCACTCGCCACCCCTAGTCAAACATGCACTACGATACTATCTTATACATTAGAAAGCCAAAGCACGCACATTTTGCAGCATAACAGACAGCATTCTCTTAAATAGTCTCAGTCTTATTTTCCTCCCAAAACACAAAGCATGCATAGCTAAGTTTATGAAGGGTTAAGGGCTAATGACAACAGTCTTATAGCATTCTCAAGGAAAACATAATAACAACAAAAGTTAGTTACAGTACACGCCTTGTAAAATTTGTGCAGCTATGTCCTTGACTCCCTCCTCAGAGATTCACCACTGAACACAGCACAGTGCTGCAGACCGGGATCACAACTTTCATCAGCACTTAAACACTGCAGAAGCAGCTTCCAACAACCAGGGATCCTAATCACGGCCCCTGAGCGCAGGCTGCTGACTGCAGCCCCCCACTGGTGTCAGAAACAAGTTTCCTCATCCCTAAAAGCTTCCCATCTTGCTCCTTCATTTGACTTAGGTTTTCAGACTTTGGGTTTCTTCTTTCTGCCTATTTTGGGTAAGCAGGGAATTAGTTAAAGAAAAAACAACACAGGACTACAGAAGGAACACTGTCAGAATGAATCACTTCACATAGATGCATGCAGTGTATGAAGGCAGATCAGAACTCTTTTTAGCTAATCTGGTAAAATATTGTCCATCTTTATCACACTTTGTATGCTGAACACTTGCTTCAATTAAAATAAAATGAATTCCAAATTATAGACAAACATACTAATAGATATATTTCTCATCTTTACGATTTCACACTGCATTTCCTTATGGCAATAACAGAACAAGGCAGATGTGTTACACACCTTCAAAATAAAAATGATAAACGCTGCATTGCTACAGAAGCCATTTTTACTTTAACTAGCAAAGATGGCTACCTTCTAATTAGAGAGCACACGTATGATGACGATATTCACATTCATTCCCCTGACAGAGCAAAGCAGTTCCCCTGTCTACACATGCCCCTGTTGAGCGCGTTCATTCTCCTCTGCCCACAGAGAACAGTCTGCACCTTTGTGCAACCTGGTACGGGGACCACCACAAAGTGAAGTTTTGCCGCAGGAACCACAAAACCCAGAAAGAGGCACTTTGAACAGTTACTTACATGGCTATAAACCACGCATGGATAAGGCAAAGTAAAGGCAACTTTGGTTTTAAAACCACTGCTGCTTTACAATTAGTTTTTTTTATTGAGAGTCTGCTAATCTGCTCTTCTATGAACTACATATAATAGTGTAGATCAGTAGTAACTAAAATTGAATCAATCACTTGTGCCCTTACTGTAAAGAAAGTTCCCAGTCACGCAAAGAAGGGAAGTCAATTTCTGAGAAAGAAGCTGCTTTTTCTTTTTTTTTTTTTTTTCCCCCGTCTTTTTTTTTTTTTTTTTTTTTTATATAAGAAAAACACCACTCTCAAAACACACTGGATCTTGGAAAACTTGCAAGCCACAGGACATGGCATGAGTGTGGGTTACCTGAGAAAAGGAAGGTGGGAGAAACTCATTTCTGCATGCCAGGTTTTGAAACAAAAACTCGCTGGAAGCCGGCAAGCCCGTGCTCCGTAGTGTTTGCTTGGCTTGGCTTATTAGAAGCTGGGAGCACTAGCGACATGCCATTAATAACACAAGCGACTGCCTTCTGTCGCCTCCCGGGGAGCAGCGAGCGCACGGCGGGAGCCCCGCTCGCGCGGACGGGCGCGCGGGGCGAGCAGCAGCCACAACAGGGAGCGGGCGCCGAGGGCAACAAGCAGCAAGGCGGGATGGGGAGGCCAAGGCGGGATGAGGGAGGCCATGGCGGGCCGCTCCGCGAGCACATCCTCACCCACGCAATCAGGCGGTGCTGTGACACAAAGCAGCCGGTGGCCCCCCGAGGTCTGGGGTGTTTTAATGCCGCGGCCGCACACGTCTATTGATTAATGTCAATCCTGACTTGCTTGCTTGCCCAGCTGCTGCCGCTGGGTGACCGTTTCGCCGGCCGTCAACTACGCTGCTGATGTGCGAGGTAACAATGATGGCAGGACAATAAGCCCAGCCAAACTCCACGCAGTGGTAACATTATGAAAAGGACTGGGTAGCTTCGGATGCAGAACCGTGGTCCCAGGCTCCAGCAAAGAGGAGGGAAAGCAAAACCCTTGTGCACATGTCTGGGAGAGACGCAGATGGCACCGGGACAATGCTGCCCTTTAGACAATGGCAGCGGGACGCTATAGGGGTGAGTGACAGCGCAGCAAATACGCTAATGTGCTTGGGGTGATGAACTCTGCTCCTCCTGCTAGCCATGACAACAGGTAAGAGCCTGAGCACAAATGCCCCCGCCACTGAGTGCAATGACCTCTTCAACTGCCAAAGCCGCGTTTACGGAAGCCCAGCTGGGCACCACAACCAGGAATCCCGGCGGAGACGCGTGTCGATCGGGAAAGGCCACAGCACTGAAGAGCTTTCCCACGACTACAGCTCGCGTCAGCTTTTGGAAGATCCCGTTCCCCCATTACATTGCAAATGTGCACAGCAC